GCATTCCTGTCCCGTGACTGACATGCCCTTCGTTCTTTACTATTGTCCTCAATACACCTAAACCAACAGATTTGGAATTTCAGCCCCCAAGAATATTCTGATGATCCACCACAGACATTAACCTTTGGCTTAATTCCATGTTCAGAACCTATTTGAGGAGTTACTTATAAGCCTTCCTTTCTCAGCCTACATCACATAGATATAACGCTTCCCAAACCCCACATCCCTAAACACAAAATTAATATTTCATGGCAAAGCACATCCACGTACACCATCATTGGCATTTATTTTCCAATTTCCCCTCCCCCATATTTATTTGGGAATGCCATTTATGATTCAATATTTGCAGATCACAAGACAAACCCATAATCAGCCAGTCTACCCTCTTCCAAATCCCTACACCACTTTGCACATTCATTTCTTTTACATTGCATGTAAATATATCACATCTCATTACAGGCATCTTTTTGCCTTCTTACCTTGGACAGTTCCCACTGCAACAAGACGATTACGTTCATGGATTACCACTACAGACCATATTGCGAGATAAATGGGGAGGGGGGGGGAGCCCTAATCACACCATCTCATTTTCATGTACCTTTGGACTTGCATACTTCTCATGAAATGTACTGAACAGAGCAAAAACACACTTCAATTTTTTTTTTTTTGTTCATACACCATGGCCCAATCTGAATATCCAAACAATAATTTCTATTGCAAATCCACTACATTATAGTAGATGCTTATTCTAATCACAACCAAAATAGGTAATTCTATACTGATATCAGTGGCCTCAGACAGTCTTCTCGAAGTATAATCTCAGTATATTCACTAGACTCATTGCCTGACATTGCTATGCTACTACAGCTGACAGCCCTTTACAAATTTAAATGCTGCTAACCCAAAGTGCACACAAATATGGAGAGATGGTGAAATAGTAAACAAAGCCTGGGGGGAAAGTAAACAGAACCAAATTGAAAATTATTATGAGGACAGGGTTCAACTTAAGAGGGATCTGAAAGCAAACCAAATCCTATAAAAATGCTATATTACACATTAATGACAAAAACTTCATACACAGATAATCAATAAAAGTCCAGAAACTATTACAAAATACAGTGTGAAAACTGGGATGAGGGAAGGTTCAACATGGGCTTTAAGCCTTTATTTCAATCCAAATGGTACATAATAGTACATGCATTCTTACAGCAAACACTGACCTCCAAATAAGAATTACGTATATTTCACTTACCTTTCATGTCAGTGTCATTAAAACCTGGGCACCAATATATGCATAGGCATATGCAGACAGAAACATTTTAACAAACAGCACCATACATCCATGAGATACTAGACTGAATTGCTGTTACATTTCGTTTAATGCATAAAAACAAATAATTCAATGTCTTGCCACACTGGTTCAGAAAGACTGCATGGAGCAAAAGACAACAAAACCTCCTTGGGCAAACCCCCACGTCAGTGTGTAATCAATTTCCAGTGCTTCACAGAAATGTCTGCATCCATTCTGATGAATCTGGAGAACATCAGGTGATCAGGTATTCTCATCATGTATTTGGTCATGATCAGCATCATTTAACATGGATAATGTGGAATGAAGCAAGCAGTCCCACTACTTGTGTGTCAACGGTTATGCTTTGCTGATGTACACTGGTAGCTAGGTTCTCAAGACAGACTTACACTAAATCCCATTTCTCTGATGATGTCAGGATGTAACCCAGTCTCAAGGGCCACTAGTATACATGTACCACCTCCAAACATAATGCAGTACTGCATACAATTAACTACAGTATACCATAGCAATGACTACAACTACATTACACCACAATACTGGCAAGAACTATACATTCCACATTACTGGCTACAACTACATGCCCACCAGTGCAGCCCAGCTACATCCCAGTAACTTAAACAGGAATACAGGCTCCAGTCTAGGCTAATCATGGACCCTGGCTACCAGCATACATCAATGAAGAAGCACCTTCAACACAGGCACTAGTAACATTTCCTAACATCTGAGTTTTCCCAGGTTAGGAAATAAGGAGTTGCCCTGGATATAAGCGAACACCTTACTCCACCCACTGCTCTCTCCATTAGTCCATTTGCAACAAGGACACCACATTCCAAGAGCAACTGTATGTATACACTGGCCACATTGCTGCATCACTCATATAATTCATGTCTGATGATGGATGCTGAGACTGATATTAAAATGGAAATTCATTCCTTATTCATAAAGCTAATCACCCAATCAAAACACTGTTTCACAGCCTGTCTACAAAATATTTAAAAAATGATATGGGTACAGTAGACTGCCTCTGTGGTCTAGTGGTCAGAGTTCCTGGCTACAGACTTTCTGAGAAGTAGTGGGTCTAGAACGGGGTCCATCAGCCCTGTGAGGATAACTGAGGAGCTGTTTCAAGGAAATAGTGGACGTGGGGAGCTGTCATGCTGACCACGTGACACTATCTGCAAAAGTTGGCACTAACTTCGCCGACAAGCGGCAGTCACTCGGTTGATATAGTTCACTTGCAGACTGCAGGCCATGGAGTTTATGGGTACAGTAACTGCTGCTAGAGGTAAAAGCACTCTGTTCTTTCAGAGGAATGTATGTTGCTACATATAATTTCAAATAATTCACTAACTATTCTAATGCTGAAGGTGTCGAAACTGAATGTAGGTTTCTCACTTCTGGTGCAGGCTGACAAATACTAAGGCACATGTTTCTTTGTCATCTTCAATGTGTGAGCATGAGGCAAACCCTCACAAAATTGCTTCTAATCTCTATCCTACAACTTGCAGGGTCTTGATGAAGGTACTCAATCCCACCATCCACACCCTTATCAAATCACGCAGCTATTTAATCACTTGAGACCATTAAATCATTAAAAATAAATACAAATACAGAAGGGCAACCTTATGACTTCTAATTAGAGTAACCTTACAAAATGACTCATATAAATATAACTAAAATGAACAAATGGGCTTCTGCTTTTCTGATCACATCTAGTACATCACTTATTGCCAGCTTCTTCCTTTTGTTAACCATCACTAATTCAGTTTTAAAAACTGACAAATGATGCACACACATTACATGCATACATGAATGTGACATACGTGTTCTTTATACAATTAAATGCAGATATACCAAATATCTCTTCGCTTCATGGCAGTCTGTGCACCTCCTGCTGTGAGACACATATGAATTATGCTGATGAATCAGCCGATAACGTTTGAAATGAAGGGAAGTAATTAACTGTAGACCGCTTGATTTTATTATATTTCATGGAAAGCAGTGCAGTCCGCCCGCCTGCCCATCCTTCCATCCATCCATCCAAGTCAAAATCCCAGTCTATAGTTCATTACTGGATGATCATATCTTTATCTGAAAACTTTTATTCTTCAGGAAAACTTCTACAAATCATATCACTAGTGTACATGTCATACATTTATAACTTACATGTTTGGACCAAAAGGAGAAAAATGGCCATTTCATTTTTATAACTTTCACCCTATTTTTATATAAGTCACCTGAAGACTCAATCAAAATACATTATTTTGAATATAAGACACCCTCTAATTTAAGACATACAGTTCTTGAATGTGGGTGTTAGAAAAAAATTAGAAAGGTGCACATGCCTCAATTTAAGATGCCCCTCAATTTTTCAATGGGGAGAAACGTGCATCTTATATTCAAAGTCTAAACAGTCTAATCAATTTTTCCTTGTATTTCATTAAATGTTCACTACATAAAAAATCTTATTCATGGGTCTTCAAGATATCTATAGTTAATGTCATGTACTAATCATCTTAAAAATCAGCTATTTCTGAGAAAGTTCATATTCAGTGTCAGGTGAAGCAGACCTATAATGAACCAAAATTAAGCTAACTTTACAACTACTTGTGCACACATCTCAATAGAAAAATGCATAGGAATCCATTTAGTATCTTCAGATATATAATATCTGGAAAAACAGACACAACTTCCCCTGTATTTGGACAGTTTGTGTGAATAATGAAGGATATGTAAGATTTGAGGTTCTCACGCCAGTGACTATGAAGAATGCCGTCTTCTGGGATGCAGCACCATGTAGATATTGTATAAATTGACATTTCAGAGAAACATATGGAGGCCATACCTTCCTCTTAAACGTTGGTCTATGCAATATCTACATGGTGCCGCATCCTAGAAGACAGCATTCTTCAATGAAGTATAAATTTCACCATCACCACACTCGCCCTGGCAGTTACATCCTGTCTGAGATAACCAATTCCTCCAAGCCCATTCTCCCCCTGTGTCGCCAGACCCGGAATCTTGCTAGATCCTTTCTTGTTACAATACCAGTCACCTGAAACAGGAAAATGGCGTATCAATATAAAAGGTTCTTAAACATGAAACACAGTGTGCCTAAAGACTATGTCCTGGAAGCACTTTGGGATGTTCCAGTGGTCCATTCCCAGGAGATTTTCCAACTGTATCACTCATATCAAACTCCTTCTGAGATGGAAGGATAACTCTTTCTACACCTACACTGGTGTGTGTGTGTGTGTGTGAAAGAGAGAGCGTGCGTGCATTTTGGTTCACAGTCCAGGTTTCAGAATTTTCATCCTCAGGATCAGATTCTGAATTTATATTATAAGAAAACAATTCAGAAATATGGAACTGCATCTTACCTCATTTGTGTCATTAACAACTGCAAGATGTCTCAATCCTAGGGCTCTAAAGAGCCGGAACACGCGTGGCAAAGAGGCTGACTGTTAACAGACAAAATAATGCATGCATTTTCCTTCACTATACAGAAAGGTGGCCTAGTTAGAATATTATGGGAACCATGATTGTTTTTCTTTGTTAAGAATGGCTAGAAGACGATGACGACATGGAAACATTTCAGAACTGAATGACAACAATCATTTCCTGACTTCAATCTACTCTTAATTTCAAGAAGTATATTATTTGTATATATTAGTGGCATTGCCTCTCAAGAAATTAAATGAGGTAGAGGGTAAAGAGCAGTATTGTGTTGAAATCCCAAATAGGTTCAGGGCTTTGGAAAACTTGGAAACAGAGGTGGATGTTAATAAAGCTTGGGAAACTATTAGAGAATATAAAAATGTCTGCCAAAGAGAGTCTAGGTTAATATGAACCGAAGAAGCATAAGCCATGGTTCGAAGAAGGATGTTCAAAATTATTAGATCAAAGAAAGCAGGCCAAATTGCAATGGTTACAGGATCCAAGCGAGTTAAATGGGGATAATGTGAACAATATAAGACGTGAAACCAGCAGGCATTTTAGGAACAAAAAGAGGGAATATCTGAAAGACAAATTTGATGAGCTTGCAGCGAACAGTAAGAACAAGAACATTAGAGACCTGTATAGAGGAATAAATTACTTTACGAGGGGTTACCAGCCTAGCAGTAACTTAGTGAAGGATTAGAATGGTGATCTGCTTGCAGATTCCCACAACATTTTCAACAGGTGGAGGAACTACTTCCCTCAGTTATTGATTGTACATAGGTTCAGTGATGTTAGGCAGACAGAAATCGATACAGCTGAGCCGTTATTACCAGATCCTAGCCCTTTTGAGGTTGAAAGTGCTACTGCAAAATTGAAATGGTATAAATCGACAGGTAGTGATCAAATTCCAGCAGAACTTATTCAAGCAGGAGGCAAACTATTACGTTCTAAGATCCACAATCTAATTATTTCTATTTGGCATAAGGAAAAATTGCCTGATCAGTCTATTATTGTACCAGTTCACACAAAGGGTGATAAAACTGATTGTAGTAATTATCAGGGGATATCACTGCTATCAACGTCATACAAAATTTTGTCCAATATTCTTCTCTCAAGGTTAAGTCCATATATAAATGAAATTATTGGGGATCATCAATGTGGGTTTCAACGTAACAGATCGGCTACAGATCACATCTTTTGCATTCGTCAGATATTGGAGAAAAAATGGGAGTACGATGAAACAATACATCAGCTATTCATAGACTTCAAGAAAGCCTATGATTCAGTTAGGAGGGAAGTATTGTACAATATTCTGATAGAGTTTGGGATACCCATGAAACCAGTTAGGTTGATTAAAATGCATTTAAACGAAACATATAGTAAAGTCCATGTAGATAAACATTTGTCTGATAACTTTCCTATCCAGAATGGTCTAAAACAAGGAGATGCTTTATTGCCACTCCTTTTCAACTTGGCTTTAGAATATGCCATTAGGAAGGTCAAGGGAACCCAAGTGGGACTGAAATTAAATGGGACACATCAGTTGTTGACCTATGCCGATAATGTGAATCTATGGGGTGATAAGAAGAAAAAAAAGAAAAAAACACAAACTTGAATTGATGCAAGTAAAAAGGTTGATCTAGAAGTAAACACAGAGAAAACTAAGTATATGTTAATACCTTGTCACCAAAATGCAGGGCAAAATAGTGACATAAAGATAGGAAACAGATGTTTTGAAAATGTGGCACAGTTCAGATATTTGGAAACAACGGTAACAGATCGAAACCTGATTCAGGAGGAAATTAAGAGGAGATTGAACTTGGGTAATGCTTGCTACCATTCAGTCTAGAACATTTTGTCTTCTCGTCTACTGTCCGAAAACATAAAAATTAGAATATACAAAACTATAATTTTGCCTGTGGTTCTGTATGGGTGTGAAACTTGGTCTTGACATTAAGGGAGGAACGTAGACTGAGGGTGTCTGAGATCAGAGTGTTGAGGAGAATATTTGGACCGAAGAGAGATGAAGTGACAGGAGGTAGGAGGAAACTGCAAAATGAGCTTCATAAATTGTACTCTTCTCCAAGTATAATTAGAATGATCAAGTCAAGGAGGATGAGGTGGGCAGGGCATGTAGCACGAATGGGAGAGAAGATGAATGCATATAGAATATTGGTGGGAAAGCCAGAAAGAAGGGGACCACTGGGAAGACCAAGACGTAGGTGGGTGGGCAATATTGAAATGGATTTTAGAGAGATAGGGTGGGATGGTATGGATTGGATTGATCTGGAGCAGGATAGGGACCAGTGGTGGGCTCTCGTGAACACAGTAATGAACCTTCGGATTCCATAAAATTCTGGAAAATTCTTGAGTAGCTGCAGAATTGGCGGCTCCTCCAGAAGGGCTCAGCTCCGTGAGTAAGTAAGTAAGTATTACTGGCATTGCCACATTTTCAAAGACTGTATTTGCTGTCGTCCTGTGCTGAAACTTGGTATTACTGTCATTATAATTAAGAGAGTATAGTGACTAGCCTACACACTGGATGGATGACTGAATTCTTGGCAGGGACCATCACATCCAGACTGTCTCTGTGACCCACACAACCTCCTGTCCAATGGGTACCAGGGGCTCTTTCCTTAGAACCAGCTAGGGATGAAGCTATACCTCCACCCCCCCCACATATCATCATGCCATGGTTTGTAACTAAGGAAGGACACAAGTATCTTTCACTAGAAATTTTGTGCACCCAATAAATGGCATTTACATAATGTGGTAGTGACAGGTTACAGTTGAGCTGGACAGCTCCATCAGTGTGGCGATGGGCTACAGGCTGGACAGCCAGGGTTCAATTCCCAGCAGGAGCAGGAGACTTTTCTCTTCTCCACAGTGTCCATACTGGCTCTGGGGCCACCTCCCATACAATGGGTAAAAAGGGTTTTTCCCCTGGGGGTAAAGCAGCCAGGACATGAAGCTGACCACTCACCTCCATCTCGTGCAGAGGTCAATAATAGTGAAGCTATACCTCCACTCTCCCATACGTCTTCATGGCATAGTGCTTAATTAATGAAGCACAGGGACAGCTTTACCTTTGCCATGTTACAGTGAATTTTAACAGCAAAGCAAAAATAAACTTACAAGTCAAATTAGACAAACCAGCTGCACTGTACTTACATGCTGAACTGTGTATGGGGATGGATTCATAAACGGTCTCAGATCTATTGTATACCTCTTTTCTTCGTCTGTCACATTTACTTCCTGTAATAAAAAAGGTACATTATATACAAACAGAATCTCTAAGTGGGACCAATTCAACGCAAAGGAAATCACCAGAAGTCATCCAAATGAACAACAGCAGACACGCAGAAGCAGTGCACTTTCCTGCAGTCATACACAGCTACTGCCACCGGGTGAACACCCAATTGCAGTAAAATAATAATAATAATAACAACCATGCAGTCTTTCCTTTCTATCTGAGCAGTCTCCATCATATATATTTAAACCTCCTACTTTGAAAGCAGAGGTGAATGGACTTAAACCTGGTAGTAATGTGATTTATATTGTAAAAAAAAAAAAAAAAAAGTGAGGTCATGCCCTCTGAGGTCTGCTGAACCAGCATATGTGACACCATTTTTGTGTAATCCACTGATATCAAAGGCTAATGCCCCAAACACATGATTCTGGAGACCTGTGACAACACAATAGTGCTGAGTGATTGACATGGCATTATATTGTGTTAAATGAGACAGAAATATAATCACAGTCGGTTACTATGTAAGCATCTGGAAGGCAATGAGTATGGCATACGAGAAACTACCATACATCCTAATTCTAAGGACTATTTTCCACATTTTAAAATTTCTGAAATCAAGGTGCATCATACATTTGATGGTGTTTATGTACTGATGTTGAAAAATTATATTTTATGGCCAAAGTGCAAGGAATATCTTCATGTCCATAACACTACTCATGGAACAGTAAACACAAAGATAGCAGGAAAGGAAATTTTGAACATATTGTAACGTGTCTGGAATCCAGAAGAGTCACTTCTATGGAAACACTAGAATAGACCGTTGCATAGGAAACAACAGTTGCTCCATTGTAGTTCTAACAGGAGTCTCCATGGTTATAACAGAGGATTCATTTGCCTAGCAGCGGCCAAGGTTATAAACAGCCCAGCTTCGACGAGAAGCCTTCAGTCTCGGATCAGCCATCGGAGAAGTCAGTCCTGGAATATCCGTCTAAGAAGTCAGTCTTGGGATAGCAGCCGTCTAAGAATCAAGTTTGGAACAACCGCCAGAAAGGACAGTCCAGTGTGGGCTGGGTTATTGTAAGCAGTCATTGTAATACTGCAAGTGATGACAACTGTAAAGCGTATGAGTGCATAAGTGAAGAACAATAAAGGTTCTACATAATCTGAAAACGACGTTAATTTATTTGTAGCGTGACACACAAAACACACTACATTGGTGTCAGAAGTGGGATAGGACTTATACACGTCGTCAACGAGACTCGAACCCAAGACACGTTACAATATTTCTAAATATCTGTCGTTAGAAATGTATTACATGTAACAATCTACAAAGCAGTTGATGGGGGTGTGGAGGTTGCAAATATTCAAATAGTGTTAATATTAGCTACAATACTACAATGTAGAGAGATCTGTCAGTGTACATTGCTATACCTAAGCTCAACACTGCATCTTAAAACCTTTTTGACAATTAATACTCACAAAGGGGACTGCAGGTAGGTACCACTGGCATTACTGAACATTTCGTTACTGACCCTGTTTGCTGCGGAATACATTTAGTGTTACATGTACATGTATTTTCATTTTTACAGAAAGCTTCAAACCCAGATACCATAGGTAACTGCCATTTTACAATGTTTTGAAACAGTTCCAATAGAATACAGCATTAAAACAAAAATTCATTATGTAAGTTTTGAGGTTTTCACGGCGNTCATTATGTTTGCAGAGGAGCACAGGAACAGAGCTGCAGCATATTGGCAATAAGTGAAGCATATGTTCATCACTGGAACAATAACTTGACACCTTTCATGGAAGAAGAACTGAAAGCTTAATTTAAGAGGAAGAACTGTGATCTCATTGTGGTTCCTTGTAGCATGACAGCCAACTTCAATGACTTGATGTATCAATTAATAAACCATTAAGGCAGCGTCTACACGAGCGCACAAAATGTGTCCGTTGTAATGAACATACTTTATGACGGATGTGGCTGAGGACAACACAAAGTTGCAGAATGCGGTGTGTAGTATTTTGTCTGCAATGGAGCCAGAAGAAAGCATAGCATTTGCCTCTCATTTATTTCTACAATGGATGTCACGACGTTCGTTACAACAGATGCATTTTGTGCGCTTGTGTAGACGCTGCATTAAAGATTAACTTTACACGAGATATTTCAGCTCTTACACTTATACTGATAAAGTAATAAAAACCATCAGGCATAACATGCAGTAGGTAGAAACTTTATTTACTGAATAAAATATGCCTCACATGTTTCGGCCCTACAGGCCATAATCGGAGGCTTACATGTTAAAGAGGAGACTGCTCAGTATACATCAATTTCTAGCAGTAACATTTACATTCAGCGTGGCTTACTCTTCAACCCTGCAGATGGAGGTAGCATGTTCCTCCAAAATATCAGTTTACTTTCAACACACTACAAGGCAGTATATCCCAGAAAACTGAACTCTTCAAGAGGGCAACTACTTCAGTACTGGGACATGTGGAAGATCCCATGAAAAACAGTGCAACGGTCATTTAAGCAAAGCTATATTAGAAATGCACTTGATGGCACAGCAGATGATATCTTACAAGGCAATTCTGATCTTAACTGCCCTGAATTAAATAGAAATTTAGGAGGATCTGTAAATTTGGAATGAGATTGGATGTAGAAATGAAGAAAAGAGTGAATAGATACATTTCATTTAAATTTTCAATCTTGGATTGATCAGTGTTACTTAATACAACTGAGTCTTACATTTGAATATTGGCATTTTAAAATTGAATTATATGCAGTTCTTTCCTGAAAACTTATAATAATCAAAGGCACATCTTACAATCAGTTGTGTCTATTTTCCTGAAAACCTGTTAATAAATCAAGGGTGCATCTTACAACTGATGGCATCATAGAATGAAAGAAATATGGTATACTAGCTCTTGCCTTGAGTGACTAGGAAAAACTATGAGAAACCTCAGGCAGCTAAGCTGAGATTCAAATTGAGTGTTCCTGAGTACAATTCTACAACACTACCACTGCACCACAGAGCTCACTTTAGTACCGCCATTCAATTTGGACACTCAATTATCTGAATGAGTAAAATCTATGGTAATTATGGGAAAACCAGTATATCTCCTCTGGAGAGCTAGTTCCCGTGACCTCTATCCAATTCAGAGGGCTAGTATTCATCGCTGATATCTGCATTTCCCAAACAGTCAGGTTCTTACAGTATTCTGGCTGAAAGTTCTAAAACAAATCTCATTCAATTTTTGGAGGCAAACAGAGCATCAAACCAATACAAAAATTATTCTAACCACAAACTGAATATCAACAATCAGCTCTGAATCAAGTATCTGTGCAAACATACAGCAAAATGGTAGTATTGCCTGGTGCTGAATAAAAACAATAGTCTGATTATTTAATTATTAGAATGTTTATATTCATCAGATATCAGACCATGTCCAATATAACTGTGATATACTGAATCAGTCATTGTCACACACCTTTAAAACATCATGCACTTTGCAATATACAGCAGGTAGGCTCTGCAGTTGTTATAACGTTCATGAAGAGTTCTACCTTCTGTGATATAAGACCACGTAGTCCACTGAAAGTCAAATAATACTTCAGGGGAACATGTAACCTCCATCCTCAAGGTCAAAGACTAAACCATGCAAGAAACCAGTGCGAAAGTAGGTAGTAAGCCCCAAAAGGTAAGAACTGTTAATAACAATGGCTTCCATATATAAATACATGAAGTTTGTACAATTGCACAGGAGATCAAACTGACAGCAAACACATGATGTATCTTAGATAACTCTTGATGCATTGCAATGAATCTTGCATAACTGTTCCTGTGAACAATTTCAACCTCTTCATTAAGATCACATCTACTTTTATACATATAATATATAAATAAATAAAATAGAGCATGTACCTGGATAGTGAGATAGCGAGGATATTCATCCCTGAACATCTTCAGAGAAATCTGTTTGAGATTCCAAATTTCAGCTGATTCATTGAAGATTTTATTTGTCAACAATACTATGAGCTGAGACCTCAAAATCATTCCTCTGAATGTCTGGTATGACTCTCCATCACCCTGGTAAGTGAAAAAATGTACAAATTCAAGACAAAGCAAATGTTATTAAGTAATAAAACACCACAAAACAACCAACACTCATGTCTAATTCAAACGGAACAGTAATGACACTGCACACTGAAACCTGTCCAGATCAGTTGCACCTGCGAGCAGACATGCTGAGCTTCCTACCACAACAGTGTGTATGCTATCTTATCACTCGCTGTCCATCTGCAGGGGAATTCCGGGAAATTTTTGACTGCCTTACATATAGTTATACTGACTGCCAGTGCACACTGTCAGTAACTGTGACTGCCACACCACATACTTCAGTATTCTCTGTGTGGGATGGAGCATTGAGATCTCTAACCAGTTGCTCCCTGAATTTCAGAGGGGTCACATTTTGCCCATGGGACTTGTGGATAATGTATGAATTTAGAACGGTTAGGTCTACAAAATGGAACAAGAGTTTCATCATCAGCTTCCAGGTTATTTCCAGGTTCTCTTGCTTACAATCCAGCTGCTCACCATCCTGCCACTGAAAATAACACAATCCATGTGGGTGGTATAATCCTTAATTACCAGAGGCTTCTCAGCTTTCACACTTTCCTTTAAGTTCTCTCAGCAGGTGGAATGTGCATGTGAGAATCTTCAATCTCTTCTGAGTAAATATCAGCACACTATTCAACAACATCCTCTGCACATGCTAAATCAACTAATAAACGCACGTGCTTCAAAGATTCTGCCATGCTGATTGTGGATCATACATGCATTTGTGGAAATAACAAGAAGCATAAGGTGGAAAAGAATTCACCAATGAACACTAGGACATTTTATTCAGCAGTAACAAATATCGACTCACTCACGTAGGGCATGAAAAGTGCTCCTTAATACGCATGTGGGACTGTCAATATATTTGATGTTCGGTTGCCTGACAAATCATTCAGGTGCCAATATGCCAGACATCCATCCTTTAAATGTACATATATAAAAAGATTTTTTAAAATTTAATCATCGGCCACATTCTACGCTCCATATAAACTGATACATTTAGACAGTATGGTTTACCACTGAAGAACACCTTTTTGATGTACCAGGCTATTACACAATGTCACATCCTTGAAGACAGTAAGTTTCCTTTACATTTTTGTTTAATAACTGAGTAGCTGAATGCACTCTGTGGGGCAAAGTTAAGGACTACACAAGACCAAATACAGTAAACACAGAATAAAGTATACAGATCTGACAAATCAGAAGTATTCTATATTCCCCATTTATCAGTGTCACAGTAAACTCATGATATCTGGATGAAACGCAGTTATGAAATTCAAACACAACAAACCTGTTCCTTGGGATGAGGATCCACAACAGGAAACCCATTATATGTCTCAGTCTCCAGCACATCAACAATGCGCCTCACAGACTCAACTGTGTTGAATGTCACCACAGGATGGCTCATTATTTCATTGGCATATATGTTGTACGACAGTGGTGGTGGTTCCCATGGTAACAAGGGCACTCCACTCAGCTGAATGTGGATATCATAAATACCCTGAAAGAAATTACTGAAACCTGTCATATGCTACACTAAGCATTCAATATGGATCACTGTTTTATTGCAAATGCCACATTTTAAAAAATACAATTATAACCACACTAATTTAGGGTTGTCTGCAGTCCTTAACTGAGTATTCATGCATGTTACTTCATTAGCTGTAATAACTGAGTATGAGTATGAGGAGTGAGCCATAAAAACCAGCCCTCGCACTGCTGACCTTCAATGATCTATTGTGCTTCCCCTTTGGATTAACCCTTTATTAATCCTACACTTCGAATGAAATGTAGGACTTTATTTATGGGGGGCATCATAAAAGTCACTTGGTTCCATGAAGAACTGACCCAGGTAGCGATATTTTAGGTAAGCTATGGCCTCGCAGTCACATAAGATGTGTGTGGCTGATTCATCTTCTTGTAGGCACCTCTCACCAGTTGGGTCGTCTGTCAGCCCCAGTTTGAAAAGGTGCCCTTTTAGGTGGCAGTGTCCAATAAGTAATCCTACCAACCATCTTAGTTGATCTCTGTTTAATTTTAACAGGTCCCTCATTCTTTTGGCAGAGGGTCCTGATATAAATCCTTTTGCCTGTTTGAGTCTAGCAGTAATAATTACTAACATATTAAAATATCTGAAATACTTCTGCATGTTTTTGGAAGAAAGTATTGCATTATATTGTGATATGAGGCCTGACAGAATTAGGTAGCCAGATAGTCACCATTGCTAGGCAAAAGCTGTGTAAGCATGCAACAATACCAGAGCCATCGCTAAGCTACGTATATACAGAATAATGGAGGAACTGTTGGAAGCAGGGTACTCCATATGGTCTGTGCTGAGGGCAAATAACAGGAAGAAAACAACTGCAAGACTTAAAATTAGATGTGGTCCTCTTAATATGGTGCATCCTGTTGTATGTCATAAATAAGATATACAAGAGTATACAAGGTATGCAGTCTACACAACAATATTCTGTATTTAAAAAACAAAGAAGACGCTACTGAATCAACATTTGCTTTTATTATGTTTTTACAGACGCAACATGTTTCGAACAGGTGTAAGGGTCGATTATCAATTCAAAACCTGTCTATTGTCACTCAAATGCATAACAACTGATGTCAGAAGTGGGACTGGATTTACTGAATTACTGAACATAGCATTGGATAGTAATGTTGAATACTACAGAAACCGAGTAAATTATGGCACGCATAGAATATGTAACACCCCAGTGAACAATATGTTCAGGGAATGAAAATCTTTTTGATTTTGAAATCAGTCGACATTATGCACTGTGCTTATTAGTGCAATGTTACAGTTGATCCCATACATCTGTTCATATGCAACATGATACTGTCGCATGTAGGGAGGTACATGTGATGAAATTAACAGGTTCTAGTTCAGATAATTGGATTTATTAGCACTTCAGTTACACACTCTCCTTTAATTACACTTAAATACAGGCAATACAGCACTATCACTGATGTATGTACTTTCCAGTTCACCGCTGGAGACTCACTAGGATTCTCTGTCTTCACTAATCATCTCCTAGTAATGGATCTCAACACAGAAACTCACTAGATTACACACTCCCAATCCCAGTGCACTATAGCACACATAAAGTCTTCTAATTCACATGCAAAGTCTTCATAGGCTGATTGCCTGTACTCTCCTGTACTCCTGGTTTCAATTCACTCTTCCAGCTTACGACTGACTCCAGCTTACTGCTTCAGCTTCAGAATTCTGCTCACTTTTATAGGCATGGGACAGACAACGTATCACAGTAAACACATGTCATGAGATCACTACCCACTACTGTTGTGGGATGTTATAGCGTGCGCGTTGCATAGCAACAGTCCATCCAAGAACATAGAAAACACTGTTCCTTGTGCTGCGTGTCCAACACCACGTAGTGCAGTGTAGAGGTGTTCTCTTGCAGTCAGATGTGGGCGGCACAATGTAAAACCGTGCGCCAACTCCGCCGTTAATTTAGCAAACCAAAAGGTTCAAGAAATAATTTGGGGACGAGACAAGCACCACACTCTTCCACGGCGTGCAGCAGAATCCTCCTGCAGTTTTCAGGCGAGCCTGCTAGTCCCTGGTGAAAGGATGAAGGGCACAAGCGTAGGGCAGGAGAGGGGGAAAAGGAATGAAGGGGGGTTCTAGTTGAGGGACATGGCGGTAGTTTCTGACATTACATCCTGTACTGTTGGCCACATGTGCGTTGCAAGCATTGTATAGCAATGGCTGATGTTTACAGATTCATTGCTTAGCAACGGGTCTATATACCACAATATGTTTTGATACAGCAATCAAACCTACATAGAAATTGATGCCAGTTGCTACCTTCCAGGTGATTCAAAACATAATGCGCTAATTAAGCAATGGAAAACAGGCATGTTACTGTTTTCTGTGGCTTTGGATGTCAGATTTGTTTTGGAGGTAGACTTAATAATTTGCGAGTGAATGTGATAATCAGAACTTAACACAAATCGAACTTGCTTAAATCTGAAACTGCTCACACATCCCTAGAAAACTTTGGGACTGGTGGATCAAATGCAATGAAAAGCAGGACTGCATAAAAAAATAGGATATACTCCATGATTAATTTGTCAATATTAGTAGTAAAATTCCCTTACTTTTTTATTTACTTTAGTAGAAACACAAACACACATTAAACCACGTATATATAGCACATTTTTATGCCACAATCTTGAATATTTTAATCTTACCTCATTGAAGAAGTCTCCGATCCACTTAGCTGTTATAAGTGTCAGCATAAGTGGGAGACCAAAGGTAATGTTCCCAGTTGCTTCAATAAGGATGACAGTCAAACTTATAGTCATTCGTACCACACCGCCAAGCTGTGCAGCTGCTCCCACAAGTGCATACTTGCCAGGGTCCACCCAGTCCTGAAAAAACCCACAACAGTGACAGAGACATGCTATACAGTACTGGATACAGAATCCTTTCATAATTTAAAAGATTTCTCCCGTTCTCTCAATGACAGTGACTTTCATTACATTCAAATGGACCTTAAAAAGACATGACAGCAAGCTGAATTCACTTGGCTCAGGACAGAGACCACTGGCATGTTGTCATTAACACAATAAAATATTGTGTCAGATAAGATTAACGGCCATGGGGATACGTTGCACTGACCAAGTGACACACTCCATCTGCAAAAGTTGACACTAACTTCACCAACAAGTGGCAGTCGCTCGGTCAGTATAGTTGGCTTGCGAACTATAGGCCACAGAGTTTGTTTCTTTTTTATAAGACACACGACATTTCTTGCCTAGCTGAGTACCTATTATCTTCTCAAGAAGGGCTCTTTTCCATGAAGTCACTTAGACAGAGAATTTTTTTACTTACTGAATTTGGAAACACACTTGCCAGCCCACTGCCAAATAATCGCCCCCAGGCAGCGCCTGTCAAGAGAGAAGGAATGAAAAGTCCACTGGATACGCTCAATCCATATGTCCAGCATGACAGCAGGAAGTAGAAAATGAAGAACACACCAACAGATACATCTTTATGGGAGCCTGAAACAGGGGTAGAACAGGAACACGGTGATTCACAGTGAATACATAAATAACAACAGTGATGAAATTGAGGTTCTCACAGCAATGATTACTACCTTCTGGGCTGTAATGCCATGTAATCCAGTAAAAGTTCATCACTCTTTCAGACGAACACACTGCTTCATCTTCAGGGTTGATTCTGACAATTTGAAGGCATTAAAACCCAAAAGATGTACACTTAACAACACTGTTTGAAACACTTTTAGCCCCAGCCTTAATGGTCATTTGTTTATACAGCTCACTGCCTGCGGACCAAGGTATCATCAGACAAGAACCCTAGAATACACAGAACTCACAGTGAGGGGTCTCCATCCAGAGGTTTATGATTACTCAACTGGCTAACAAATTACATTCTTTTATGGAAGCTGACACTTCAGTGCCATGGTCAAAAAAACACACCAATGAACCCTCTCCTGAGCCACTTCAATCCACTCTAGACCTTCACACCCTCTTTCTCAAAGATCCATTTAGACAGCAACTCTACTTCTCCTACATGTCTTCTTCCGCTAAAGTTTTGTGAACAAGTTATTTTCTGTATGTTACATTTCCTGCCCAACTCATCATTCGTTATTTCATTTCCCTAACATCACTATGTAATTTCTTCCATTCTTCATGACTTCCTCCATCTTATGNCCATCATTCGTTATTTCATTTCCCTGACATCAGGTGAAGAGTACGTAAAGCTCTTCACTATGTAATTTCTTCCATTCTTCATGACTTCCTCCATCTTATGTCCACATATTCTCATCATTTTACTCTAAAAGGAAATCAATATGTGGTCTTCCCACATGGTCAAAGGACCGAGTTTCACATCCATACAAATTAACAGGGAAAACAGTAATTTTGTACTTGTATATTTGCATATTTTTAATTTTCTGATGTGTAGATATGAAACAGCAACATAGAAGATTCAAAACTGAATGGCAACAAGGACTCCCAAATTTGATATGCTCTTAATTTCTCATCAACATACTTTTCATAATTAAATAATTATCATGCCTAATTTGTATGTCTGTTTTGCAGACATTTCTCTCAAATACTGCTATATCACATGCAGACAATATCATAGCACTAACAACAGATTTTAAAATCAGAAAACTTACACAACAGTGCAGAAGAGTGTTAACTCATGGCTCAAACATAACTCACCAGGGGGGTCATGGAACAATGATCGTACACTGGCCTCTGGAGTTTGGAACCAAATAGCAGCAACTGCATTGTATTCCCCATCACCACAGTACATCTGTCCACAATCAGATGTTCAGTCTGAGCTTATATCAAGAAGTGTATGGGGCAGTAAATTGAGCATTGAAACATTAAAATGACAAGTCACGAAAAGGACAAAGTTTATGTTTTATGAAGTGACAAAAATATTCAGGCTGGAAAAGGCTTAGCGGGTGCAGTGGTGATTTGTGAATTGTAGAGATTAGAAGTGGCAGTGTAACTGCTTGTAGTCCCAAATCATGTGTGTATGTGGTCAATAAATCAATTCAACAGTCCAAACCCCGTCGATAATCACTCCCTCTTGTGACAATATGAAATAAGAACTGAAAGCACTTTCGACTGTTGTCATCAATAATTTCATGTCCCTCCTTATAAATTTCCTGTTAAGATGATCTAGGGGGGCAAATGGTAGCGTAGTTGGTTGAGGCACTATGCTACAAGCCGGAAGGTCGTGGGATCAAATCCCGATGAGGTCATTGGACTTTTTTCAATTTACCTAATCGTTCCAGTCACACTATGGCCCTGGGGTTGACTCGGCCTCTAACAGAAATGAGTACCAGGAATATTTTTGGAATGTTCTTGGGGGTAAAGGGTGGCCAGCGCATAAGTCTCAGAACCATCTATGAGCCGACTGTCTGGAAAATGTGGGAACCTCAACATCTCACAACCCTATGGGCCTCCATGGCCTGTTACAGGGATACCTTTATTTACTTTTTTTTTAATGATCTATCAATACCATGAGATGGAATATTTCATACGGTGACCACATCATTACTTCACATTTTCTGAAAAACAATGCACCAGTGTTGCAGCTGAGTAAAACTGCACCTTGTATTCAGAGATCCTGGGCTTAAACCCTGATCTAGAGACTAGCTATTCTCACTAGGAACTTCTTATCAGTCCCTCCAGGCAAATGTTTAGACAGTACCCCTAATTAAAACATGAACACTTCCTTCTACACTCTTTCCAATTCATTATACACTAACCATCTACGATTTGACACTATACAATCTGAGCTACAACAAATGTCATTAAATAAACCCTCACTCATGGAGCCGAGCCCTTCCCCAGAAGCCGCCAATTGTGCAGCTACTCAAGAACTTCTCAACATTTTATGGAACCCAAAGGTTCATTGCCATGTTCACAAGAGCCCTCTACTGGTCCCTATCTTGAGCCAGGGTGATCCAATCCATACCATCACATACTATCCCTCTAGGATTCATTTTAATATTGTCCATCAACCTACGTCTTTGTCTTCCTAGTGGTCTCTTTCCTTCTGGCTTTCCCACCAATATCCTATATGCATTCCTGTTCTTCCCCATTCGTGCTACATGTCCTGCCCATCTCATCCACCTTGACTTCATTTAAATAAAGCCTAAATGATGAAAATATGAAACAGTGCCTTCATACGGGAGTTACATTCCTTCCAAATATCTGTCTCCATACAAAATTAGAGTACCAATTAAATGACACTACTGTTGTTCCTGTAGAGCCAGGATAGTGCAGTCAGCATAGCGACTGGCTAGGGGCTGGACAACCGAGGGGTCAGAGTTTGAGTTCCAGTAGGGTCAAGAATTTTATCTTCTCCACGTCATGCAGACCGGCTCTGGAGCCCACCCAGCCCCCTATCCAATGGCTACTCCAGGCTCTTTCCCCAGGAGTAATGCGGCCAGGACATGAAGCTGATCACTCACCCCCAACTAGTGCCAAGGTCAAGAAAATATGAATGTATACATCCATTCTCCCCTACACCTTCATGGCACAGTACTTAATTAGTTAAGCACAGGGAGAACTCTACCTTACTGTTGTTCCCATGTCAGCACATTTGTATGACTATTATATTGGGTCAGTTGTTAACAGACCCAATAGTATACTTGTATGTATATGAGGAAGTCACAATGGAATGATACTCATACTGGGCTTCATGAAAATCTAGTGACTATAATGCTAATTTTCACAACTGAATAGAGTCAGAAGACGGATGGTTGGTTAAGTGCAGCTCACTAACAGAATTCCAAAACAGGAATTTCTGTTCCTTTAAATTGGTAAAAATAATCAGACAAATCATGCCATAATAGGATAACATCTTACACACATGAAACTGTTTTAAATTACTATGAACTCCTTGCACAAAATGAAGGTGTACAGCAAGGGTCATGTTTGTCAGCCTGTCCACATGTTTAGTTTTGTAAACTAACGAAGTTTAATGAAATTTTGTGTGGGAGTCTAAACTCAGTGTCCTCAGGCAAACTTAACTTTGGTACATACTTGTCAAATACACTCTGATGCTGCTTTACACGAAGCTCAAAACTGAGCTTTATCAATTTTCTTAAAAACAACTCAACATACAAAAAACTGATCAACATCTGCAGCAGTTTGCCTGTAGTGCAATTAATTTACAACAAGCTATTTGTATCTGCAATAAATGAATACAGAGACTTAGAAATACAAACAATTGACAGACACTTTTGGAAAATATGGATACTACAACAGGGTAAACTTTTCCACGCCTATTCTTTTTCACACTACAAATCATCATTCTCACCTGAATGGGATTGTTGGTTGGGTCCTCTCCTAGGGGTTTACAGTCATTAAGAAAATACATCATCATAAAGCCCAGTGTTGCCGAAAATGCTGCAACTATGACGGCTTCCATCACTCTCATCCACCGAGCACGGATCTTTCTGGAGAAGACAAAAGAGAAAATGCCTGAATTTGGTAAAATCAGTCAGAATCATAGAAATGGGCACAACAAATGATTATGAAGAGCACTGTCTTCTAGATCAAGGTGCCATATACAGCAGAATACACAGACTCACAGACACAATACTCTTTCTATTCATCACTGTGAGCACCTCAGATTTAAAATAAATGACTAACAACAGTATAACCCTAACTCCATGCTTCTTTATGAGACACTGCTGGACTTGAGTACTAAACTGAGAAAAACCTTCTTCTTTTTGTATTGCTAGTGGGGTGGGAGTAAGTCCCTTGTACTGCGGCCACTTCTGGCCTATTGTACCAGCCCCAGATGATAGGTGAGGGTGATTGTGGAGCAATTGGTGGAATGAAGATTGGCAGGGGAAACCGAAGTACTCGGAGAAAACCTTCCCCAGNAGAAAAACCTTACATGGTGAAAACATATGAGATGAAGGCACTGAAATTACACAAACTGAACATCACTTAACTCAAATTCTCACAATAAGAAACAAAGGAACACAAAGTATGCTATAGGGTACTCCTAGTGCAGCTGACAATTTATGGCTATTCAAGAAATTCTGTGATTTCATGGAACCCAAGAGCCTATCACTGGACCATTCCTAAGCTAGCTGAACCCAGGTCACACCTTCACAATTTATTTCTCAAGATCCATTTTAATATTATTCTTACATCCATATCTGAATATTTCAAGTTCTTTCATTGAGGTTTTAAAACTGAAATGGTTTATGAATTTCTTGCTGCATGCTACATATTACACCCATTTAATTCTTCCTAATTTCATCACCATAACAATATTAGGCAAGCAGCATAAAGCATACATTTCCTAATTATGCTACTCTCTCCAGTCTCCTGCTACTGATAGTTCTTGTATCTCATATACAGTCAATCTCAAGAGCAGTGTTCTCAAGCACCTTTAGCCTATGTCTGCCACCTTACAGTGAGAACACTGCTAACTGTTTACATCTACCTGTGGGGTACATGTTTATGTTTATACTTTTAAGCATTTTCAGCAATAAATTAATATGTTACATACCTACATCACTTGAAATTAGAGTATGAAATTACTTTTCTCTTAATTTCTGAAGTGTTACAAGTTTTAACCTCTCAAGATTAGAACATCTTCACTGAAAGAGTCAGCATTATTATTTCATTAACATAAAACTGCTTTATTAATGTAAAGTGTGCACTCAATTACAGACTATATCCAGACATTTCCATAATAAGCTAGGCAGTCTTCATAAGCTGTTATGGAAAAGCAATGCTGTACTGCATCAATATGCTTCAGTCAAATCATCTTTCAACCACATGACTATTAAAATTTGTGTATCCCACTGATTTCAACAGGTTGTTCACCTAGCTGTTCAAGAAATTATAAAATACCATACCTCATCCTGAATACTGTCAATTTGTAGTTGATGTGGTTGAAAAGAGAGCCCAGGAGACCCCCAATAACTCCCATTATCACAAATGCGGGTAGCTCAAACAAGTCATAAGAGATGCTCTCAAATTTGCCAAAGTTGAGGAGTCCAGCATATGAGAGGTCTCCTGGATGGCCGTGGTAGGTACTCAACACCACATTCAGGGTAAATGTAGAAACTATTGAGGCAAAGAAGATTCTCCAAGTCAAACTCTGGTTCCAGAAACTTGCACCTTCCTCCAGACTGAACAGTACACCACCTGCAACAATGTACATCAGAAATTATAACAATTCAGATTTATAAATGTTAAGCAGGATTCAAACTGCTTCTGCAATCACAAACTACTTGGGGAAAAGAACTTGTAGCCTTTCCACTACTACAGAAGTAAATGCTTCTGTAGCCTCCCGAGTGCTGAATTATTTTCTGCAATTGTTCCATATTTACTACCCGAGGAATCATATAATTATATTCATAAACACAGTCAATAAAACTGATATCTGAATCTGTTCTGTTAAATCAGGCATGTCCAACTTCAAACAAGTTGTGTTTGACTTTTTAGTTTCAAAACTGCCAGTGATCTACCACCCACTCCTATTGTCATACCTCGCTTTAAGCAAAAATATTGGTAAAAATAACATGACACATGATGTTTTTTGTAAAAGCAACATACATTGAAAGTACAGACTACTTTAATACACATTTTTCCTTCAAAATCTGAATATAATCATATTATATTACAAGTGAATTCACATGCTTTTCACATATAATTTCCTTATAGGCCTATGAGATCGACCACAAATCGTCCCGCGATTGACGCGTTGGACATTCCTGTGTTAAATGATTCTAAAGTACCTTCAATCACAAAAAGCACTTATGTTACATGGATGCCACGTTCAAGGAAAACACAATATAAATACTGATTTTTGTAATACACTGTAACTTAAATTTGCAAAGCAAAGTAAAGCAGAATTATCCTTCTCTCTCAGAGTATACAGAGAGACCGCAAGACTGATACACACACAAGAAAATACAACATACAAAACTACAAATAGCAGCAAAAGCATGCAACAACTAGTCATGAGATTGAACTAAACATTTATGTGCATGAAAGGAGCAAGGTGAACAAGTGTAGTGCAGTGGTCTCCCCAAAAAGGAACATGACCTGATGATGGGCCATGTGAGGCCGAAACATGTTGTAAAGTTAAAAAAAATACACGTAAAATTAGAGACATTTCAGAAATTTTGATAATCACTTTTAACGTATAAAATATACTTCTAGTGTCCTATTGACATTTTAATGATTTTAACATCATAAAGTATTAAAATACATTTCTAGCAAGTGACATATTCTTGATGTCTTTTATATTGTTGCTTTATTGATGTGTACTATAGTAATAAATAGGATTGATGTTTTAATATAGTATTGCGAGATGAAGAAGGGATAAACCCAAAACCTGAATTTTATGAAAGATCTGAAATTATTAAAAGAGACCTTCTGAACTAAACATAAGGATATGGATGTTTCACACATGGACAATAACAAACAGGATGATTTTCTGAATACAAAAGAAACTAATATGTAAAATAAACAATTTACGAGACCAAGGATTTGATTAAGAGACCATGTGAATGAAGATACACAAAGAGAATAGGAAATGATAACACACAGATATAAGAAGAACAATTATGTGAGAACAAAGAAAAATAGAGAAGCTTTCTTCGTAAGAACCACTATGATTAAAGTTGAATTAACAAACCATAATTCAAGAATCCCATACCTGACCACATCATAATCCTGACAAAAAATGTACCTGTACAAAATTTTCTTCTGTCCGTGCTTTCTTAAGAATCTGTAAAATCTCACCCACTGGTGCCCCAAATGCAGCTGCAACTCCAGCTGCTGCTCCGCCTGAAACAAAATCTCGTTTCTCATGGTCTTCTCGAAAATACTTGAAAATCCCCAAGTCTCGACGGAATGTACTGCTCTTCCCTTGGGAGATGCCAGCTGCAACAACAGCTCCTGAGTGGATCATTGGACCTTCCTGTTAAAAATACAATCAATATTAAACTAGGTAACTACATGGTACACAGAATTTTCCTTTAACCTTCATTTCTCATGGAGAGCCTGCAGTCAAGTTGACTCTGTGTCATGGTTACTGCACCATGAAGACATATTCGGCTTCCTAAAATTTAGCTAATCTTGAGCTGCCTGAAAGCAGTGGGGTGACTCTCCCTCTTTCAAAATATTTTCAGTGATACACAGCATCCTCTGCTATACATTCAGACTTAAGATGCAACCATATTTTAGCCAGCATTTTCTGAGGGGGTGGGGGGAATTATGTCATACTCCAGGAAATGAGCATTTCCTTCACCACATAAAAAGTGCTCACAGCATACCTTTCCAACAGCAAGCCCACCAACAACAGAAGTGATGACTCCAACAACCTTCACAAATAGAGTTTTGATCCGAACAACACGTGGGATCTTTACACCATTGAGGTAACATTTCACCTGGGGAATGCCACTGCCTGCAGCAGTTGGCTGAAACAAAACAATCGCAAAATATTCAACCTGTTGGTTACCAATACTTAAAAATGCCTGTCTGTCATGATAGCAGGTAATAATTTCTGTGCCAGTTATTTAGTACTCCTACCTCAACTGTAAAACATCAGGTTCATGCGTACTGACACGATTATTACCAATACTGAGTTGGCAAAGACATACAAGGAGACAGTCTCTTATTTTTAGGTACTGCTGGACAGTCCAGGTTTGATTCCCTGGACTGTAAGCCTTTTTTCCCTACCAAAGCACCCAGACCAACTCTGGGACCCACCCAACCTTCTATCCAATGGGTACCCAGAGGTATTTCCCTGGAGGTAAAGTGGCAGAGGCATGAAGCTGACACTCACCTCCATCTAATGCTGGGGACAAGAATGGTGAATCTATACATCCACTTCCCCATACGTCTTCATGATATAGTGCTTAACTAATTAAGTACATGGACAACTTTATCTTCTACTTTACCGGTCATAACATTTATTTATATAGACAGTGGCAAACCACAAGAGAACCTCAGTTAAGGTTCTTTTTTATTGCTATTGGGGTGGGACATAAGTCCCTTGTACTGCGGCCACTTCTGGCCTATTGTTCCAGCCCCAGATGATAGACGAGGGTGATTGTGGAGCAATTGGTGGAATGAAGATTGGCAGGGGACACCGAAGTACTTGGAGAAAACCTGCCCCAGCGCCACTTTGTCCAATACAAATCGCACTTGATCAGACCTGGGATCGAACCTGGGCTGCCATGGTGGGAAGCCAGCAACTAACCGCTTCAGCTATGGTGCGGCCTCAGTAAAGGTATCTAAGAATCATCCTTTCCCAGCAAACCTGTCATTTACCAATAGAAACATACAGCACATTGAACTGACACTTCACTACCTTCATACAGTAGAAATTTCAGGATAAAATGAAGATCACCAACTTATCATTAAACAAGGCAGGTGCCTTGAGTGGCAATCTTCATACTCCAGTCACTTTCCCACCATGAAAGAGCCCTTGGTATCCAATGGATAAAAGGTTTGACGAGTCAGGAATAGAGCCCAGATCATCTAGCCTGTAACCTGACACTTCACTGATACAAGCATCCCCAAGATGTATACAACATTTTTACAAATGCAACAAGGACATATCAACATCATCTTAAACTGAATAAATACTAATGCCACGTGAATATGTTATCATTTGAAACATATGCATACTCGGTGAATGTAACAAGATCTGAAAGTACCTGTCTGCATCCCTTCAAATTTACTTGGTGGAAATGCCAGGAACTGATAACAATATAATATTCTTTCCCATTTTTGCACATAATTCGTATTACCACAGACTTTTACTAGTACCAATCTGTCGATTGTGTAAATCTTAACATAAAAAGCTGCAAATAATGATTAGGCACGTTTAAGATCTACATCAATTTTCATCCCCCAAGCTCCAATGGTTCATTAGTTATCATCACAATACTACAAGCTAAATACAGACATCACATGACCACTATTTGTTTTACACTGTATAACAGCATCTTAAGAAAAATTTCAAACGTTTTGGACATTCGTTATCACATAAATTTTTGGACCTTGCATCAAGTGACACCAGAAAAATGTAATGGCCTCTAATGGCATGATGTTCATACCATATTCATCAACAGATTTACAATACAATATGGGACAAGGAGAAATAATAAATGTCTTTCATTATAAAACAACAAAGGGATGCTAAAAATAAAAATTACTAATTCAGCTCATGGGTTTTCACACTGTGGATGAGGACAGTGTGTTCTGATATTTCTGAGGCAGACTGTACATCCTAAATGTCAGTAACACTGCCCACATCCACAGTGTGAAAACTCAACAGCTGAATTAACAACAAGAGTGAAGAACCACGAAAGCCTGAAGTAAGCAAATACTAATCCTTCTAACATACACTCACCTCTACATACGCTACCAAAAAGGACCCAATAACAACAGGCCCCATGTTTGAGATGACCAAGACTAAATACGGTATATATAAACAGTTTTCACTGATGCACTGATCCACATCTGATACAATGTTAAAGAAAATCTTTCCCATTTTACACAGAAACAATGTTACAGAAAGTGATGTAAAATTTGTGTTGCAGGTAATGCTTTCATGTTATAGTCCACCTTCCTCCTGGCCCATGTGCGCCTCAGCAATGGTGCAGTGTGCATTTCCAAAGCACAATCGCCTAAGAGCCAGTCTGTTACCATCACATGAAGATGGGGAAGGTGGCTGGTAAAGGGAACAGATATGAGCCTTGAATTACAATGGAGCCTGGTTTCCCTCACAATCATAAAATTTTACCTTACAGATCACCCTAGTAGAAAACCAAAGACTTCGGCACACAAGTCTGTTGCTTTAAGTCTAGATCATCCAGCAAATGATAGGAACATACGTCACTCAAAAAAAAAAGGGGTGATTACACTAAATAAACAATACTAACTGTGTAACATCATGTGTACTACACTGTACTACCCCACTCTATAAGCAACCCTGGACCCACATATATGCAAAGACCTCCTCTTCCTGTTTTTCATGGCAGATGCTCGTCTGCCAGGTCACCATATCCAGAGTTGTGTACCAGCGTACAAGAGAGTGAGTGCCTCAGACTTTTGGGCAGGATGCTGCAAGGTTCTGCTCAATTCGATCTTGACAGAGGAAAACTTCTTTGCACCAAGCACCCTTCTGGTGTGCTAAACGGTTCTTCACCTTGTCATTCCATCCTACTAGCTGCCATGCTCCAGTTGCTTCATAATCTCTGCTCTCTGCTACATGGGGTGGAGGGGAATTGAACTGAACTCTACATTCTCTTCCTGGTTGTTTTCTGATGCTGTCAGTATCAACACTATATAGCAACAAATGGTAAAAAGACTGATGAATGATGAAGTGCAAAGGATTTTGAAAGAAGCAGTTGAGTCTAGCTTGGAATCTATCAAGAGGGACTGAGGAAAACCATAAGAAATGTCACATAAAGCTAATTCCCTAATAAAATATTCCATGGTACAGGGTGTTTCTTCAAAAAAGCTCTCAACTACTGAGATGGTCACAAAATATCCTGCACTGTGATATCTGAAAATTCAATACAATGTTCACAAAAGCTTACTGTTAAACCCTAACTGAACCAGTTCAATCCAGGCCACATATTTCCTTAACATCAGTTCTAATATTATATTTCCATCTGCGCCTATGTTTCCGAAGTTGCGCCTTTTCTTGAGATTTCTCATATACCCATTCATGCTACTACATGCTCCACCCATCAAAGTCTACATATCCTACCCATTAAATTCTCCTCAATTTAATGACTTTGGTTAATAACCTGCTTGATCAGGAAGAAAACTGTGTGCGCATACATATGTGTGTGTGTGTGTGTGTGTGTGTGTGCGTGCGTGTGTGTGGTGATAAAGGAAAGGATACACTTCTTGAGAAACTTGTATTTAATACTTGACAGTTCCTCAATGGTTATGTCAATAACACAGGCAATTAAAGCTGTCAGCAAGCCAATCAACAAGAAAATCAACCATCTTGCTAGGTTTTTCTTTACAATGAATTTGTATCCTTTTGTTCGTTCCTCTTCCAGCAGGAGATGATTCTCACAAATGTCATAATCCAGACTCTGAAAAAATACACATTAATTTACAATAACTACATATTACTTTAATGATGCAGTTAAATAATATCAGTCATAAAACAGTAGCATTCTTTTCATCATAATTCAAGAATTAAGCACACAGGCATGTCCTGATTCATTCACTTGGACTGTATGGATACAAGATTAGCCCATAAAAAGAAGCTTCTACATACATAACACAGGATAGTTAAAGGTAAAGTTGTCCCTGTGCTTAAGTAAGTACTACTCCATGAAAGCGTATGGAAGAGTGGATGTACAGATCCATATTTTCTAGACCACAGCACTAGCTGGAGGTGAGTGGTCAGCTTCATGCCCCGGCCACTTCATCCCCAGGGAAAGAACCCCTGGTACCCATTTGAGTAGCTGCACAATTGGTGGCTTCTCAAGAAGGGCTCAGCTCCACAAATGATGATGAATTATAAATGTAAACGTGAAGCTGGTCAGCTTCACATTCCAGATACTTCAGCCCTGATGGAAGGAACCCTCACACCCATTACATAAAAGGTTCAATGGATCCCAGATCCAGACTGGACATAGTGGCAAACAGAAAAACCCCTGTATACATTAAAGCCTGATTATCCAACTCACAGCCAATCTCTTCACTCAGAACTACCCAGCTCATTATAATAATACTAATAATAATAACAAATAGTGGCAAACAGAAAAACCCCTGTATACATTAAAGCCTGATTATCCAACTCACAGCCAATCTCTTCACTCAGAACTACCCAGCTCATTATAATAATACTAATAATAATAACAATAATAATAATAATAATAATAATAATAATAATAATAATAAAGTAAAAAAAAATAAAAGTAAAGGTGTCCCTGTAACATGCTCTGGAGGCCCATAGGGTTGTGAGATGTTGATGTTCCCACATTTTCTAGACAATCGGCTCAAAGACGGAGGCAAGGTTGTGAGCCTTACGTGCCAGCCACCCTTTACCCCCAAGAATATTCCTGGTACTCATTTCTGTTAGAGGCTGAGTTGACCCCAGGGCCATAGTGTGGCTGGAAGGATCAGGTTAATTGAAAAAAAATTTAATGACCTCATCAGGACTTGAACCTGCTACCTTCCGGCTTGTAGCATAGTACCTCAGCCAACTACACTACCGTGTGCCCCTTAATAATAATATCAATAAAAACAACAATAAAAATATGAACTCACTTCAAATTTTGCTGAAAGTACATTGAGAGAGCCAGGTTCAACAGTTTCCAAGGCACATCGTCTCTTCCTAGGCTGCCACTTACCACTGGCCAAAGTCTCTATATCAGCATTTATAGATGTTGGATCCTTAATATAGACAATTAAATGCATTAACAAAAGAAAAGAGACATAAACATTCCAGTTATTACAGAAAAAAAATGTGAACTGTTCTAATTGATACCCTGGCAACATAGCAAAGTAGGCATAAATACTATATTTAAGCAACCTGTTGCACTGATTTATTGTTCAGTTATTTATTTCAGCCTTACTAATGCAACTTGTAAATGTTCAATGGCAGCATGTTTATTGCCACACTGTCATGTTTCACTCATTTCTTCATGTTAGTAAAACATGTTTCAATGATATATGAACATCTTCATGAGTACTATATGTCACAAGCCGCACAGAATTACTGGGTTTTTGGACTTTTTCCATCGTTCGGAATTCTAGGTAATAGAGGACATGACGTTATGGAAAACAGGATCTGTTTCCATCTTCAGGTGAGAAAGAAAGACACCTACTCAGTAGGGCCCCTTAGAAAGAGATCCATTTTCCAAAATGTCGTGTCCTCTATTACCTAGAATTCCGGACGACGGAAAAAGTCCAAAAACCCAGTAATTCTGTGTGTCATCCACCATCATCAGAACCCTTTAGAATCTACAAGTCACAAGTTGTTTCACTGTATTTTCCTCCTTTTATAGATTAAAACTCAAGATTAAAACTAAAAGTCAGTAATAAGTCAAAGTATTGAAGTGGAGGATCAGTACTACAGGGCGCCTGTCCTATGTGGGTTTCAGGTGACATTTGGTTGCTGGTGCCTTTCATCTGTTGGGTGTTTGTGCCGTCTTTGCTCACAAACCACATAACTGCCCCCTGAAAATCTGCATATGCACAGCAATCACTCATGGCACCTTTTATTCAATGTCATGGACACCCAACAACCAAAACACGCTGACAACTGAATGTCACCTAGTAGTCACACATGAATATTGCACTACGGTATTCAACCTCCAAAGGAACAGCTGGACTAATTATCTACTTCAATTTTCATTATCTACTTCAATAGCCAGTAAAACAAAATACTATATATTTAAAAAGTCATAAGTTTACGTTTTGATTTTATTAGAACTTTACTTGATAAGAGGAAAGTTCAGTCAAACAAGTTACAATATATACAATACACCTGATGACAGCCATGTTATGGCCAAAATGTGTTGCATTAACAACAATGTGAACAAATGAGTGAACTACTATTGTATGGCAATAACCATGTAGACACTGAACATCTACAAAAGTTACATTAATAAAACTGAAATAAATAATTAAGTTATAATTAGGCATAAACCACAACAATTATACTAACACACAGAGTCCACATGCCCATCCTACTATGTAGCACTAAGGCATAAGAATTTTTGGAAATTACATGATGTACAAGACTACTGTTTCTAGTTTTTATATAAGATCAACTTCTTTTTGGAAATGGGATGTATTTCTGTCTTCCAGTACACAGGATATGAAGTTAATTTTTGTTGGAAACAGAATATTTCCCTGTCTTACAATAATTTTCAGTCATATCCAGAAGATGACTTTCATCATAAACCGATTTTATAATTGGTTTCTGAATAAGAAATAAGGGTATAGAAACAGCTTACTTAGGGATCCAAAGAGAAACAATATCTACACATACAGAAATAGAACACTTTACGAAACGTTGTGGCTTTTATGTAAAACTATTAAGACAACATACACAGTCAAGATGAACAGCCTTCAACAGACTATGGCATCTTCAAATACCTTTCAATTAAGTTATGTAAAACCGTTAAACTACAGCTAAGTGTGTACACCCTCTATTGTATTATTTGATTTTTAGTCATATAATCCACTGAATTGCATCAAACGAATAGGTATGTACAGCAGGTGGTGACACTTTATTAGAACATATTCCAGTCATCACTGCTTGATGAATTTGTACACTAGCAAAATACTTACGTACTTTATATACGTATATACCAGTCTTGCACCATTCAGCTCTTATAAGAACAATGAACTGAACTCTGCTTGAATGCTGTCACAAACTTGACCACTTAACCTAATATGACATTTCTCCTAACCTAAAACGTAACGACAAAACAAATCGTAAGTTCTTACCCCTGATGGACTGTATTCTTGCGCACCATATGAAATAATGTTATTTTGGTTTTTAATTAAAGGATCCTCCTCGCCTGAACTAGAATCTGATCTATTTCTCGGATTTCCGTGGTTATTAAACAGTGCCATTTCTCATCCATACATTCATATCACATTTCTCGTACTTTCAAAACCTATATTAATATTAAAATGTATATTGACTCGACGATATGTGGCTTGAGGCCTCAGAAAACTGCTAATTCAGCATGATTTACACACAATTTTTAAAACTCGGCAATGATTTCGAACAAGGCATTTCTAAACTGACATATAAAACCTAGAAAACCGTGCACGTGAATCTGTTTCATACACGTACATACATACCACGGTTCACGAAGAACACCGAGCGTAGAACGGTTCACCAAGTAATAAATAGCAAAATATGTTCACTGATCAAATTCTCTCTGCTCCTGCCGCCATACCAAAGAAAAAAAAAAAAGCCAGTAAAACAAAATATGGAACTCAGTTCCTTCCTGGCCTCTGGGGTTATGGAGGGGGAGGAAGGTAGAATAAACTACACATTTCTGTCAAATTTTGTGCGAATATAACGTCGTTAGCTAATTTCTAATGGGATTTGACATTTTAAACAAGTTAATTCAGAACACTCAACTCGAAAATAGGCATACAGCCTACACCAAAACAAAATACAATATGGTGTAGTGATAACGATTTGGAACAACTAAATATCTATTCGGGACGTACCTATTGGAATCTAGGCCGGGACACCAGTCAATTTCCGAAGATAACAGCAATATTTGGCAGCGAGATGTATATGCAGTGTTTTTAGTCTGGCTCCTGTGTTGAGCGTGAGAAATATGGCAAGAATTGGAACAGTGGCTACAGTGGCGTTGTATAGGGAGGTAGCGTGATACACAGAATTACTGGGGCTTTGGATTTTTTCCATCGTCCAGAATTCTAGGTAATAGAGGACACGGTGTTTCGGAAACTGGATCCGTTTCCGTCTTCAGGTGAGAAAGGAATACACCTACTCAGTTGGGCCCCTTAGAAAAAGCTAATCTAAATCACTGGAATTGAGATTAGCTTATTTCGGCTCGCTTGTAGCTATCATCGGGCGATATTATTTAAAGCTATAAAATATCGAACTATAATTGTAAAAGCTATAAAACTGTAAAATTACAATTCAACATTTTATAGCTTTAAATAATATATCGCCTGCTGATGGCTCCAAGCGACCAGAAACATGTCGCGTAATTTTAACATAGTTAATAAATACAATTGACATAAATGTGCTGATGACTTAATTATTTATTTTGTGTGATGACGGATGTATATATATAGGCTATATAGACACACATACAACAGGTTGCACTCCTTGAAAATTAGAGACCAATAAGCCTTCTCAATAATTTTTCGAATTATTCGAATAGGTTATTCATGTTCACGTTTCGTATAATCTAAAGTTTATAATAATTCTTACCGGCAGGGCTTCTCTAAATCTGCCATCACCCATTTGGTAACATATATTGTTACCTTCGCCTTCTCTTCCCTTGAACCAATGCACAGATTATACATTACATTAGTTAGATCTAAGCTCGAATATGCGTCCGTTGTCTGGGATTCAAATACGTTTTCTGATACCAACAAACTGGAGCACATCCAGCAGAGAACTGTGGTCCTCTGTTTTAATCGTTTCTTTCCTCAAGTACATTACTGGCATGCTCTTGCTCTGGAAAAGTTCAAAATGCACACTCTACGTATTAGGAGACTCTCTTTCTTGCTCAAGTTTACCTCGGTTCTAAATTCTGCCCTTCCGTTTTGGAAAATGTCGGCCTTCTAGTTGCTGCTCGATATATCAGAGACTTTGCTTTGTTCAGTGTCTGCTCCTCTTGTAAAAATTGTCCCTCTGCTAGATGTGGATCAGCTGCTAATGTTCTCTGCAAGAACGTTGACATATCCGGAACCAAGACCTTTCTCCTCAGTCATATTTTGTAATGTGTTATGAATATTATCCTTTCTTGCCGCATGATGACATAACCATTGCAAATTCACGTATTTTACTTTTCTCGCCTGTTAATGGTAACTTAGATTTTTCACTGAATTATTATTATTATTATTATTATTCCGTAGTCTGGAATTCGATTACGTCAACTGATGCCAACAAGCTGGAACGCATCCAGCAGAGGTTTGCGGCCCTATGTTTTAAATGTTTCTTTCCTAAAGTTCACTACAATTATTCTCTTGCTCTTGAGGAGTTAAAATTACATACTTTATGTACTAGGAGACATCGCCTTGATGCTCTCTTTCTTATTCAAGTTTATTTTGGCTCTAAATTCTGCCCTTCTGCCCTGGAAATTGTTGGTCTCCGAGTTCCTGCTCGGTATATCAGAGATTTTGCATTGTTCAATGTTTGCCCTTTATTTAAGAATTGTCCCTCTGCTAGATGCGCAGCAGCTGCTAATGTTGTCTGCAGGGAGGTTGACGTATTCGGAGCCAGGAATGTTCTACCCAAACAAATTTTAAATACAGTATAACTGTTAGTATTTTTATTATTTGCATGTTCAGTAAAGCAAAATGAATTACGTAATTTTCCTCAGAAAATCTATACTATTCAATTCTTAATTAAATATTAATGTTTCATTCCTCTATTCGTAATAGCACTTAGTTTAATGATAATGGAATTATTATTACTGTTATAATTATCACTTATTTGTTTGTTTACTTTTACTTTTATTCATTATTATTTCTTCCAATTACTTAACTGTAATTTGTATTTGACTTTTAATAAGTTTGTATGTAATGTAATTCAGTCATCTACACTGTGCTGAGTCTGTAATTGGCCTTGCGGTTGTTGACTCGGCACATTAATAATAAAGAATTGAATTGAATTGAATTATTATTACTATCATCATCATCATCATCGTTATCGTCGTTATTGTATAAAATGCCTTATTTTTTATTCTATCTCTAAGCTTTTGTTGTTTCTATTTACATACTCGTGCTAACTTTGTAACTGACCTCTAGCTGTTACGTTTGCACGTCATTAAACAAGAATTGAGTCATTCGTTTTATTATTATTATTAATAGTAGTAGTATTTTCTCAACTTGCATTTTTAGCCTATTTTCTTTATTTACAAAAATAAAAGGAGGCTTATGACAACGCCTTGCTGTCTGTGTGTCTGCGTTCGTGTGTCTGCATATGGTACGTATTTCTATTTTTCCATTTTCTGTGTGCTCCATTTCGTAACAAGGAGAAGTAGGCGATTAGTTATTCGCATAATTTCTTGTTAATTTTCTGAACTTAACTCGTCTCAAATATACAGATAGGGAGGACATAATGTAGGTCATAAATTTCACCCATTAAATGCATTCCTGGGTCCTTCCAAGATTTTGTACCCTCAACTTGCCTAACTTCTCCGATTGTTCAGTATGTGTAAAGACCATTCGCCATTTTAAGAATTATTTCTGCAACACGAACTGCGCACTCATGTGGTGGTCTAATTGACAGGTTTCGTTCGCTATTGGCTTTTCAGCAACCTTCGCAGGATCTTTCCCGAAGGGCTCTTAGGGACACTGGTGAGGAATTTCACTCCCCCCTTCAGCTGCTTGTACTCTGACACTTTCTCTGCTACGTATTTCTTCACATCTTCTTCGGAGATTTGAGATCTTTTAGGAACAACAAAAGCTCTTGGAACCTCGCCCGCCCTCTCGTCAGGGACGCCAATTACTGCTGCGTCGTCAATGTCAGGATGACTGCGCAGAATCTCCTCCAGTTCCGCTGGTGCTACCTGTTAATAGAAAAGCGAAAATGAAGATCGGTACAGGGAGGCTGCTGTGACTTCTAATTGGGCACGGGCCTCAGCTTTCATGAAGATTTGAAGGAGCTACAGTTTGCTGAGGGACACTGACAGTCACACCCGACGGTGCAAGTTTCGGCGCCAGAGATTCATACGAAATAATCAGGATACATATCCAAGAACATGACTTGAAGAATAAATTGCTTATAAAGATTACGAACTTTGGTCGACTAATTTCCTTAGAATGCTCAAGTCTATGGTGAAGTTAACAATAACTACATATTGAGATCTACATATTTTCCACTTTCACCAATTGGTCAGATATGTCGTCAGGGTTTTGTACTATCACTGGGTTTATAATTTTTAACGTATAAAAAATAAGATCTGAAAATTCCTGACGATGGTATATTAACACAATTATCGTGTTCCTGAAAGAACAATTTTTGTATAGCAAAAACAGTTCATGACAATTCTGAGGTCGTGTTAAAGATCTATAGACATACAAATTTTCAGATTCCTTGCTCAAATGGCTTACTACTCGTATCCATTTTCTTTCGCTTAGGTCGTTCATCCACAGAATCCGTCCAAGTCCGAGACTTCTTGAACATTTTCATAAGAAGCTTATTTATTTTTTTACGGTGGAGTTCTTAGCACCACTCCAAACTCCGCAGCTGGAGAACCACCCCATGTCGTCTGTCCGCGACTGCTTATTCAATATATTCGCAGCTACCCTCCATACCTGGAAGGCGTCTCCTCCATCCGCAACCTGAGGACGCGCCATGCCTTGGTGACAGGGGATAATGAGACAGTGCATCAGCTATTCGTAGACTTCAAGAAAGCCTATGATTAAGTTAGGAGGGAAGTATTGTACAATAATCTGTCAGAGTTTGGGATACCAATGAAACTAGTTAGGCTGATTACATTGTATTTAAACGAAACATATCGTAAAGTCCGTATAGGTAAACATTCGACAGATAATTTCTCTATCCAGAAAGATCTAAAACAAGGAGATGCTTTATCACCACTCCTTTTCAACTTTGCTTTAGAATATGCCATTAGGACGGTCCAGGGAAACCAGGTGGGGGAAATTAAACGGGACACATCAGATGTTGTTCTATGCTAATGATGTGAATCTACTGGGTGATAATATAGATACCATAAAGAAAAACATACAAACTCCAATTGACGCTGGTAAGGAGGTTGCTCTAGAAGTAAACAGAGAAAAAAAGTATACGTTGCTGTCTCGTCACTAAAATGCAGGGCAAAATCATGGGATAGCCAACAGATATTTTTAAAATGTGGCACAGTTCAGATATTTGGGGACGACGAAAACAAATCAAAATATGACTCAGGAGGAAATTAAGAGGAGATTCAACTCGGGTAATACATGCTACCATTCAGTCCAGGACTTTTGTCTTCTCGTCTGCTGTCAAAAAATATAAAAATTAGAATATACAAAACTATAATTTTGCCTTTGGTTCTGTATGGGTGTGAAACTTGGTCCTTGACATTAAGGGAGGAATGTAGACTGAGGGTGTTTGAGATCAGGGTGTTGAGGAGAATATTTGCACCGAAGAGAGATGAAGTGACAGGAGGTTGGAGAAAACTGCATAATGAGGAGCTTCATAACCTGTACTCTTCTCCAAGTATAATTAGAATGATCAAGTCAAGCAGGATGAGATGGGTAGGGCATGCAGTACGAATGGAGAAGAAGCGGAATGCATATAGGATATTCGTGGGAAAGCCAGGTAGAAAGAGACCACTGGGAAGACCAAGACATAGATGGGTGAACAATATTAAAATGGATCTTATAGAGATAGGATGGGATGGTATGGACTGGACCGATCTGGCTCAGGATAGGGACCAGTGGAGGGCTCTTGTGAACAGAGTAATGAACCTTCGGGTTCCATAAAAAGTTGGGAAGTTCCTGAGTAGCTGTACAATTGGCGGGTATTAGGCTTGTGAATTGCTACCTGGTAATTTTAACGGCGCCCATTCAGCTGCATGCGATACGTGTCACTGAATTCTATTGTGGTAAGTGGTCACTCTCCCTCTTAGGGTTCACACCCACAGCAGTGACCGTCAGCTGCTAGGCACAACCTCCTGTGCTCCCACTCTGCTGGTTTAAGCGCCACACCATGAAGATACGTTAGAGAGCGAAGCCCCCACCTCTCATTGAACGGGAAGCTGGGTGAACCTCAGGGACGGTCTGGGCTCAGTGGGAAAGAGAAGAGTCCCTAACCCTGCCGAGAGTCGTACTAAACAGTTTCAGAGTTCATATAAATCCAAATTTGGGTGCCGAAGTGAGCAATATTATCAGCACTTACCCCTTCCTTTTGTCACCTCTGAAGTCAGTTAAATTACAACAATGTGAAGAGTGAACAGTCACTAATGTAATGATTGTTAATCGTAAGTTACGGAGGGTGTCGAAAGCAGCGTTTACGTGTGGTGTATATCAAGGCACTGAAGAAGCAAGCGACAAGTATTTTGGTGTCATGGCACTGGAAGTGGTTGAATTTTATGGACCAAAGCTTTGAATAGGAAGTCACGGCTATTTTTGTTTCCGTGGGTTATTCAACAACGCTGTTTCAGTGACGAGACCGTACATCATGGCGTCGGGTGGTAGGGCGATAGATGCATGATGAATCAGAAAGGACTTGAAAGGAAACAGTTGTTGTCTAATCGAGGTACTATCCTAGAATTTGCCTTGAGGGACTAGAGAAAACCACGAAAAATCTCTGTCAGGATAGTCGGTGTTCCGGCCGAAATTCGAATTGAGCACATCTTGAATACAAGTCAAGAGCGTTGCCTGCACACCATTCTGTTCGGTACGGCCATCTTAACTTGACTGAATGTTGTTATCTTCTGTTGTCACGTTTATACCTTCACAGTCGCCGCTATTACATGCAGCAGGCTGCTGTTGTCGGCAGACTAACTGCGTGACAAATCTGGAACTCTAAATGGAACGACATTTAATTGATCTTTTGATGCCGTCGAGTTAATACGAGTAACTTCACTGATCTGTGAAGTCGTTGCTCTGTATCATGAGTTACCTGGAAGCCCTTGACCTTGATAAGTTCCTTCAATCTGTCCACGACGTAGAAATGACCCTCCTTGTCGTAATAACCCAGGTCGCCTGTATGTAACCAGCCGTCTCTGTCGATCATCTCAGCGGTAGCATCAGGTCGGTTTAAGTAACCTTTCATCACCTGAGACACAAGAAAAATGAACCTTCCTTTAAGTAACCCAAGACTTTGTCGATGAAAGGGGCTTGGGTTTCCTCGGGTAGCGGTACCGTAATCAAGCGGCCGTAATATGACGGTGAATGACGTCACTAAAACGTTGCCATGGAAACAAAGCAACATGGTTTCCTAGAAAGCGTTGGTGGTCAACGCTTTCTAGCTTAAGCTAACTTCTACCTTAAGTTAGCTTCTAGCTAACCCAAGCTTAAGTCACCTGAGACATAACACGTATTGATAAGTTTAAATAATTCGTCACCTGATATATACCAAGAGTTATTCAGATTAAGTAATGCTCCAACACCTAAAATATGATAGAAGGTTCTTTCCTCAGTAACCCTCCATAACTGAATTCATAATAACAGTTGATCTGTTTGAGTATCGTATTCCTCGCCACCAGTGATATAATACGTGTTGGCAGATTGAAGTAGTTCTTCATCGTCTAACATTAAACAAGATTGGGTCACTTGAAATAACATTCCATAACTTCAGAAATGTGCTTAACAAAAGTTTCTCGGCTAGGCTAACCTTGAATCACTATAAATATACCGTTTCTTTTTACAAGTGACACTTTATCAACCGAGACATAAAAAGATTTGATAGGTTTAAGTACATGGTGTATGCTGACCGTCTTACAGTGTATACACCTTTTCACCTTATTCTTCACTTCCACACCACATGTTTCAGTACTAATGTGCCATCTTCAGGTGTCTTTATGCGCGTTAAACTATTGTACTGCATGCCATAATGTCTTCATTCTAAAATGACTAAAATCTGTATTCGTCATATAGGACGATGAATTCTAAATAATAAAACTTTCCAGGATTCTTCCTACGTCACACTCAGACACGCGAATTACGCCAATCCTCTTTTATGTGAGCATTCTTCCTACATGTATTTGTGTATCGTGTTCTGTGTTGTTTTGCTCCTGTTACTGCATGCGTTGTACTGCTGGATCTGTGTGTTTAAGTACACTTCATCTGTAAAATATCACGCATTTGCAGTTTTAAGTACCCCATCAGCTGATACATAGCAACTGTTGGTTCGTTAATGTAACATTACATCACATGAGATATATAGATGCCGTTGCTTAGCCGCGCTCTGAAGAATTTCCCTTCGAGGGCGTCTGTGTTCCGTGTTGCGACCCAGTGCGCATGTATCCTCTTCCTCTCTCCACTCTTCCTTCAATTCCACTCTTTTCCGTGCTCTCAGCTCTGGACCGTTTCTGAAACTAACTGCGGTTTTTGATCTGACTCAGGGAGGTTCATTCAAAATTTGTTTTAGTTCCTCTTATTCTAAAATTATTTCGGTCGCTGTTCTATCTCCCGATCAGGGCAACCTGGTCCCTACATGGTCTGCCAAGGCAAGTTGTTCTCCGTTTGGTATTTAGTTTCCCCTTTCTTACTTTCTGCCTCGAGTAGGCAGACCACGTACTGCCCGTAAAGAGGATTTCCTGATGTTTCGTTCTTCTCACCTGAAGTCTACTTTCTTTTACGTTCTATCTCTACTCGAGGCGAGTTACTGGATTTGTATTCGATTTAATCACATACGTATATCTATACTGTATTAAAATTATATATATTCTTCATTGTGTTTTTCCGCCGTCAAGATCCACAGCTGGTACTTGCTGCAGTCTACCGAGATGGAAGAAGAGCATAGGGATGGTGTCGAGCTGGTAGCAGAGATCGTGATGTGTTTGGATTTAAGCACGTGTAACGGTAGGCTTCTGCTGTGTCTATGTAAGCCTTTCGGTGTGGAGTGTTTAGTAAACCTGGTAAACACGGGCAAGTGTGGTACATTTGGGTGTTCTTAATTGTTACTGCCGTTTCTTCTTTCCTGAGGGCCGTGTTTGTAACACGGCCTCTCCTTCCTCCCTCGTGGTTCGGTTATCACGGTGATTATTTCCCAGCTGCTCCCGCTGCTTCCTCCTCAAGGTTGCTAGTCCCGAGCTGTTTCCTGATGAGGTGTCAGGCTGTCCAAAGTTTACCACCATCATCCTTTTCCGAGGCTGCGCTTTGGACGTGTCTTCGTTCATTTCGGAAGGGGCCCACTGCTCCACAATATCCAGTCACTCAGTTTCCGCAGCCTAGTCGAAAGACCGATAATTCGCTTTTCAATCCTTAAGATCCTGCCGGATGTCCTCTCCTTCCTCAGACGTAGTTGCCATCTTACGCCTCGGTCCTATATTCCACCGCTGTATTCCGGGCCTTTCCGTCTTCTCTTCGCGGCCGTAGGTCCTTTATGGCCGTGTTCCTTACACCGTGCAGGAACAGCACGGGAGGTCATCTGTCTGAAGGCTTGCCCATTTTCTTCAACCATTCTTCGAAGACATCCACCGCGGCCTCCATTTCTTCCAGGTCGGCCTTCGACCTTTCTAGACGGGCCTCCATCGCTTTTTGGTAGGCTGTCGTCTCTTTTCGCCAGGCCTTCATTTCTTCTAGCCAGGCATCCGTATTTTCTTGGTTTACATCACTGCAGGAGGCGAGACAACCTTCGGCATGGACCGCACAGAAAACACGCTTCCAACAATAACTCCATTGTTGGGTGTTACACTGCCGTTACCTAGAAATGGCTGTTTCCCTGGCACCACAGTTGTTGATTTGAGCAAGTATGCCACAATGTTATCCGTTATGTCAATCATATCTTACATTCCACTGATCAGTTTTCTATTATTTGGCACGCAGTGATACTCTATGCATATATATTACGAATCAACCAAAAGTTTGTAGATATATGTCGCTTTTGCAGTACAAACCGGTTATAGCAACTGGATCAATGACTTACACACGAAAAGCTACAAACGAGAGAATTTTGTTTACAGAGACCGACCGATGGGACTCGCTGATAAACCTAGAAGACTCGCTCCTCACCTGCGGGCCCCGGAGGCAGATCTCGCCCATTTCCCCCTGAGGGAGATCAGTTCTGGTCTCTGCGTCCACTATCTTCATCTCTGTGTTGGGAACTGGTACGCCGACGGAGTCGTAGTTGGTGCTGCCGATGACCGTGTGTGATACCGAGGGCGAGGCCTCCGTCATGCCGTACCCTGCACAAGAAGGGAGAGTTGTCTTGGATTCACTCCTGAGCACCCCCCCCCCTCAATTATTTTGTAAATTCTAGCACTCTATCTCGCTCTATGGGAAAAACGCAGATTAGAGAAGTGTCAGATCAGAGTTCTTTGGGATCCAGCCCGTGAAACAGAGCCCTCATTGAGAAGCTGATAGTCGCTCGGCTACGCAGGAAATTCCTCGCCTTCTATGGAATCAGAAGGTTCATTACCATATTCATAAAAGCCTTCCGTATGGACCTAAGAGGGTGAAGTGACAGGAGGTTGTAGAAAATTGCGTAATAGGATTCTATTAGATCACAGTCTAATTTTACTCATCAACTATTTTCTTTCATTGTCTCTACAGCTCTACTGAACCCTGGCCTCTGATTTTTTAGTTTCATGACCATTTTACAGAAGGTAAGACTCTTTGGACGAGTGATCAGTTTGTCGCAAGGCCTCTACCTAAAGACAGGACAACACAAACATAGAATAAACACTTACGCATACCAAACACTCATGCCTTTTGTAGGATTCGAACCCACGGTCCCGGCTTCCGAGCGAGCGAAGACAGTGAATTCCTTAGACCGCTCTGCTACCGTGACCGGCTATCAAGTCTTATAAAGGTCACAAAGTTAATAGAGAGTCCGTCGAGTGTAACAATTTGTAGTCACTTGTTATTATTATTTCTGCCTTACGTGTTTCGGTTTGAAACAACCATCATCAGAGGCACTTGCTATAATTATGGAAACACTGTCGCTGTTTTTTTATGTTCACAATTATGTTTGTCGTGTGGACGCTGCTACGATATGTTGACGTGTAAAAGCACAAAACATGCTAAGATAGTTGAGTACACTCTCAAGGTCTCACTTTTCATCCGAGCCTATTTTTAAGTTAAAACGCTAAAATGTTAAAATATTTGATATAAAATGCTGAACTCCTCCTTGTTAATTCATCCCGAAGATGGGAGACGTCAGCTTGAGGTTGTATGGCTTATGGTTTGATATGTTCCTGTGTGCTGTGTGCTGTGTANTATGTTCCGTGAGAAGTAACGCTGGGGCTCACTGAAGGCCGTCGGGCGAATTCATTTGTATGCGCGTCCGTCTGTTGTAAGTCACACTTTATATGTAGCTAAAGCTTGGGTTTTCACCGGGTAGCGGTACCGTAATCAAGCGGAAAACTGCTCTTCACAATATGCCACGCAATATAAAATACAGACAGATCCCATTAATGGGCATGGGTCCTGTTCGATGAATTTTTTGATACAGTGATTATGATCATTTAACGGAATGCAAGGGAAGATTTACTGCAACCTCTATTAAATAGCTGTCATGTAAAAGTCTAAATAAGACCCATTAAAACATAAATTAATAAAATGTATAATTTGAATTTAACTTTATTCAATTTTCATTAACAATCATCTCCTCGATGGACATTATATGTCAATTTTAATAATATCACAGTATTTCAATCTCAGATGCACGTGGTAGCGTAGTTGGTTGAGGCACTATGCCAAAAGCTGGAAGGTCACGGGTTCGAGTCGCGATGAGTTGTAATTTTTAATTTACCTAATCCTTCCAGCCTCATTATGGTCCTGAGGTTGACTCAGTCACTAACAGAAATGAGTACCAGGAATCATCCTGGGGGGTAAAGGGCGACCGGCGCGTGAAGCTGACAACCTTACCGCCATCTGTGAGCCGACTGTCTAAGGAAAATGTGGAAGTTTCGACGTCTCACAGACCTATGGGCCTTCACGGCCTGTTACAGGGATAGCTTTTTTATAGCTTTATTTTAATACTAATAAGTGTACAATTGGACTTCCAACTCTATACGCTAGTGACAGACATACTATTTATTTAAAGTTTTTACTATTTTTAGCTTTTCAATTTAATATAGATAATAACATAAATATAAAACATATATAGGTATATATACACGTATATTTATTTGTTCAAAGAATTTTAATTAAAGGTTGTGATATTACAAAAGCATTTTCATGTAAAATATGTATCCATGTTAATGCGTTAACGTATTCGGGGACTTATCACGCTTGTTGCATATATGACTAAATATGGCCTAAAAAGAGGTCGAAACATGTAGCATTAATATCTGCGCAAATAAACGAATGTTGATATTGTAGTATCTAGTTCATTTCGGTTTCAATAATTGGTTGTGTTGACTGTACAATTAGTATATATTTTTCTTGAATGACACAACAGGATACATACGAGGCTACGTACTATGAAATGCAAGGGAAGATATGTCTCTGTGCAGTGCGCTATCTGCAATGCAATAGTTTTGTAACAATATATTTGTGTCTGCAACAAATTCCTCGTGTAGTTTGTTAAAATAGATTCGCACCTCGTGGGTATGTATTACCTTGGAGTACATCAGTGTTTGGGGGTGCCCTCCTTAGAAAACGCTCCACGTCGAGGCTTCCCAAGGGTGCCGCCGCATATACAACCCGGCGAAGCGACTGGAGGTACTTCGGCCGCACGCCTGGATGCGAAGCCAGGAATAGAATGAGTGGGGGTGCTGAATAGAGTACGGTTGCCTGCAGAGAAGCCAACAACAGAGACTAATAACTGCGAAAGTGTTCAGAAATGATAACACACTACAGCACCCAGTCACAAAATCCTGCTTAGCTAAGTTATTGGATATAACTATCTCATAAACAGAGGTATTACATGTACGAAAGATATCCGGAAAGCCCAGAAAATATTTGTAAAACATTTTTTTTGGGGGGGGGGATTCACTTGTAGCACTCTTACAGCACACCTTTATTAAATTTTCAACACAGTCACCATGGATCACAATGCACTTAGTGAGCCTGGAAACGAGTTCTCTTTTATTGTAGCGTCTTAGAACTCTCCCGCCTGCTCTCTTGTACATGGAGAACAGTTCTTGATGCTTCTGGACATTGTTAATGAAGTTCATTGATGGTTAAAAGTCTGTCAGCACGAATGTTTTCATCAATATTTTTGGATGATTTCATCAGTGACAACGAACATCGCTTCTTCCCGCTTAAAATTCACGACACCATTTTGCCACGTTTTGCCTGTTCATAACATCTTCGCTGTAAACAGAAACAAGTTGGCGATGAATTTCAGCACCAGCTTCTC